CCTGGTTTCCAGGATGTCTGTGGTGTCCCCCAGTTATTTGTTTTGAGTGTGTTCTCTATGTATTTTTGTGCCTGGTGCCTAGCACACAGCCTGGCACAGGGCTGACATTCGGGAAGCTTCTGTGGAGGAGGACGGGAGCAGTCATCCTCATTGGCTGCACTTTCCCACTCTCCACAGACTCCTGAGTGGTGAACATGCTCCCCAGCACCTTCAGCACCCATCTTGAGCCCTCACCCTGCAGAGGTGTGTTGAGGAAGTGCGGCCAATTTTAGTGTTAGCCATCTACGATACCATTCCGATCAGATTGTGTACCATTTACTATTGTCCATTTGAATGAACACATAAATCCTTTATGATCCTTTATTATATGAGGGTGTAACTCTTTTCAGTGTTTTGGCATTAAAAAACACTGGGCCTTCCTTTCCTGGTTCTCAACCCACCCTTTGGAATTCTTAGCATTTGCCCTTGCTTATCAAGCACTACTGCTATAATTGCTCCCATCTTTGTTTAACCAGCTAATTATTGTATTTGTCTTATAAACAGGCCAGGAGGTGAAGCATGTAGTGCCACACCTGGAAACCCTTGTTTGGTTATAATTCCTGTGGGTAATCCACCCAAGTGGGTGTGCTTTCATCTGAATGACTAGGAATCCCACAGCCATTTGCCCCTCAGACGTCACCTCACTTATCTCATCTCTCGCCCACTTCCTCTTCCTTCTCCACGGGACAGCCGAGCAAGCAGGTCTGCTCACTGGCCTTTGCCGTCTGCTGATTTATTCCAATCGTCCTCAAATTATCCTCTGCCCTCCTTCAGAGTCTTTTGCGCATGAAGTGTTTTCTGTTCACTGACTCTCTGCCAAACCCAGGATTCTCCCTTCAGCAAAAACAGAATTCACCTGTGCCCCCAACATAAGATGCTGTGCTTTTTTCCCACCGCATCCAGTGTCAATCTCTTTCCCTCAGACTTATTCTTTTTTTTAAATAATAATATTTTATTGTGTTTTCAGTGAAAGTTCACACAGCAGATTAGTTTTCCATTTGACAATTTCTACACAAGTTGTTTAGCAACATTAGTTATATTTTTCACAGTGTGTCGCCATTCTCTCTAATTGCATTCTGGTGGTTCCGATTCCAATGCTCTAGTTTCCCTCACTTTTTTTTTTTTTAAATATTTTATTGTGTTTTTGGTGAAAATTCCCTCAGACTTACTCTTGCTGACTGTGGGCGGAAGACCTGCCGGCCTCGGCCCTTACGAGCCATTTGACAGCTGCTCAGTGGGTACCTGCTCTGAGTGTGTGCTGGTCTAGCGCTGACCTAAGGTTCAGAGGAAAGAAGACAGACAAGTCCCTGTCTTCTTGTAGCTTAAATTCTAGAGGGAAAAATAGACAACAACCAAAAAAATGTTGACAATTGATAGTGTTATGAAGAAAGCTGAGGTAGAGTAAGGAGATGGACAATGACGGTGGTGGCTCCTTAGAAGGGGAAGGCAGGGGAGCCTCTCTCCACACTGACAGGTGAGTGGAGAGAGAGGGCTGGGCTTGGAATCAAGAGACCTAGCTTGGAGCAATAAGTTTGAAATGCCTTCTAGATGTCGCCTAGGCAGTGCAGAGAAAACAATGGAAGGTGTGAGTGAGGAGTTCCAGGAAGAGCTAGGCCTGGAGGGCAAGTTGGGAGTCTTCTGTATAGGCTGCTGCAGCCCTGGGGCTTGTGGAGAGGCTGGGGGACAGTTCCAGAAGCCTGTTTGCCTCTTGCTTTAACTAACCTTCCAGCCCCCTCCTCAGACTTGCCTTCAGTGACTTGTCATTTCATGTGATTCCTAGGATTTCATCTTCGGCATAAGAAACAAGCTGTCCACCTCTTCACTCGCTCCAAAGCTGGTGCCGAGATTCTTGGTCCTCTGTCATTTAAGGTCTCTATGTGTGGGATAATACCAGTGTGGGATTTTTCTTTCCAGCATTTTTCACCAGATTTATATCAAATGCTTTAAAATGTTGTGTAAGCAAAAAGAAACAATCTTTGTTGGTTACAAGGGATGGCGGGGGGTGGGGGGGAAAACACTAAATATACAATAGATAAGTGGTAACTTTGGTGAAGGTTAAGACAGTACACAATACTGGGGAAGCCAGCACAGCTTGTACAAGGAAAGGTCATGGAAGCTCCAGAGACACATCCAAACTCCCTGAGGGACTGAATCGCTGGGTAGAGGGCTGTGGGAACCATGGTCTCGGGGAACATCTAGCTCAATTGGTATAACACAGTTTACAAAGACAATGTTCTACATTCTACCTTGGTGAGTAGCATCTGGGGTCTTAAAAGCCTGTGAGCAGCCATCTGAGATTCTCCACTGGTCTTACCCTTTCTGGAGCAAGGGAGAATGAAGAGAACAGGATACGGGGAAAAGACTAGTCCAAAAGACTGATGGACCACAGCTACCAAGGCCTCCACCAGACTTGAGTCCAGTACAGCTAGATGGTGCTCAGCTACCATAACTGACTGCTCTAACCCGGATCACAACAGACAGAGCTGAAGAACGATGTAGAGCAAAATTCTAACTCACAAAAAAAGACCAAATTTACTGGCCTAAAGGAGACTGGAGAAACCCCGAGAGTATGGCCCCTAGACACCCTTTTAGCTCAGAGATGAAGTCATTCCCGAGTTTCACCGTTCAGCTGGGGATTGGTCAGACCCATAAAACAAAACGGGACTAATGAGGCACAGCAGTCCAGGGACAAGGACTAGAAGGCAGGAGGGGACAGGAAAGCTGGTGATAGGGAACCCACGGTTAAGAAGGGACAATGTTGACATGTCACGGGGTTGTTAAACAATGTCATGAAACAGTATGTGTACTGACTGTTTAATGAGAAACTATTCATTCTGTAAACCTTCACCTAAAGTACAATAAAAAAAAAAAATGTGTAATTTTTGACCAGAAAGTTCAGTCTATAATTACAGCTATCTAGATGTTTATCTTAAGGAAATCCAGATTTAACTATAACCTATACAGTGAAATATTATGGGGCCATTTAAAATAATGTCAGTGAGGAACATACACTGATTTGGAAAAATACTCATATGTTAAACAAAATAGCAACAGTAATAATAAAATAACAGAATTGGTTAGCATTTCTGTGTGTCGAGCACTGTTCCAAGCACCATTCCTGAATCGTCTCCTTTATGGATTAACTGGTTAAGTAGCTTGCCCAGGTCCACACAGGCTCTAAGCGGTAGAGTCAGGATGCAGACCCAGATGCCTGGACCCCAGAGTCTAAACTCTGGCTCATAACCTCTAGCCTCTGCCTTATAAAATAGTCTGAGTCATGTGACCCAGATATAGATAGATGTGTACTCTTAGCAAAAGCACTTAAAGATAATATACCAAAATGTCAACAGTGATTTTCACTGGAATGTGGAATTACAGGTTGTTTTCTTTTTTGTTTATCGTTTATCTGCTTTTCTAAATCAATGTGTTTTATAATGAGAAAATTGCTGTGGTTGTTAGGTACCACTGAGTCGATTCCGACTCATAGCGACCCCATGTGACAGAGTAGAACTGACCCATAGGGTTTTCTAGGCTGTAATCTTTGCGGGAGCAAATCACCAGGTCTTTCTCCCAAGGAGCCGCTGGTTGGGTTTGAACCACTAACCTTTCAGTTAGCAGCCAAATGCTTAGCTGTTGCACCACCAATGTTAGTTAATTTAGTATGAGGAAAAACTTTTAACTGGTATAATTTCTTCTTATAATAAGAGCTGTGGAGATTATGAGAATTCTCTTTTTTGTGGTGAAGAAGCTTCAGGGAAATCAGGCTCTGAGTAATGGAAGGCTTTGTGCAAGGAACTTGTAATCTGAAGCCCAGGGCTTCCGACTCCCGGGCTGACCTCTTCTCACTGCCTTCTTGGTAGTAGATGGTAGAAGAGCGCAGTCACAAGGATTGGACAAATTACAACAGTGGTTGTGTGTTTTGTTTCTGTTTTTAGGTTGATATCCCTGAAAGTACTTAACAGCATTGTGCTACTGGGAAAATCATGCCAATATGTGAAGGAAGCCAAAATGGAAGAGAAGTTGTTCAGCCCTCCCCCAACCAGCACTCCAGGCAAACCACCCAATAAATCACAGAACAAAAGTAAATCCCCTCAAGGTATGTTTAATTCTTTTCATCACTTCTCTGAATCATTTTCCGAGAATTAATGGTTTGTCTGAACTCTGTGTAATAAAAAGCTGTTCAGTCAATGATTGACAATGCTTTAAAATTTTGGTTTCAGTTTTCTTAGGTTTTTATTTTATTATTATTATTGTTATATTTTAGATTGCATCACAGATATACTTGACGTAGTGCTCTGAATTTTTCCATTTATTCATTCATTGTTCCACAAATGATTATTGAGCACTTACTACATGCCAGGTCCCAGTGATATAAAACCAAAAAAAAAACCAGTTGCCATTGAGTGGATTCAACTCATGGCGACCCCATGTGTGTCAGAGTATAACTGTGCTCTGTAGGGTTTTCAGTGGCTGCTTTTTTGAAAGTAGATCACCAGACGTTACTTCTGAGGTGCCTCTGGATGGACTCAAACCACCGACATTTCGACTATCAGCTGAGTGCGTTAACCATTTGCGCTACCCAGGGACGCCCCAGGGGATATAGCGGTGATGTCTCTGCCATCGTGGAGCTTATTCTAGACTGAGGGGCGGAGAGAGTTAATAAACTGGTGGATATGCACTATGCCAGGTGGCAATAAGTGCTGTAGAGGAAAATAAAGCAAGTTAAGGGGAAAAGCGAGTAGACAGGAGTCGGGGGTGTTTGCAAGGAGATGCCCCTGAACTGAGCTGAAGGACGGGAGGCAGCGAGCCTTGCATGGCAGGAGCAGCCCGGCAGAGGGCCCAGCACTTTACAGAGGCTCCAAGGCAGGAGTAGCCTGGGCCTGTTGAAGACAAGAAAGGCCAGGAGGCTGTAGCAGAGTGGAGAGGGGCCCAGAGGCTGCACAGGGCCAGTCATGCAGGGAAGGACCTAGGCTTTTGTTCCAAGGGGCTTTGAGCAGAGGAGTGACATGCTCCTGCTTATGTTTTAAGAGGACAGCTCTCAAGCTCTGTGGAGAATAGACTCAAGAAGGGAAAACACAGACACCGAGGCTGGAGCAGAGGCTACCAGCGCAGAGCAGGGTGGTCATGGTGTCAGAGGGGAGAACAGGCCGGCTCTGGAGAGATCTGGAGAGACAGGGTTTGCTGGTGCTCAGGTTGTGTGGTGTGAGAAGAGCTAAGGATGGCTCCAGGGTTTTCCATGGCAATTTTCTGTTTACTTAGGTGTTTATTCTTGTGACTTTTAACCTAAATGGTTTATTTTTAAATATATGGAACAACTGTGTGCCAGGTAACATACGAGGTACTGGAGATACAAAGGTAAACGAGTCGTGGTCCTGCCCTTCAGGGCTCACAGACTCATGGGGAAACAGCATGATGGTTAGTCCACGTGGGTGTGTGAGGGTGTGGAGGAGCCAGGAGTGGTGTTCTCCTGAAGTAACCTTTAAAGGAGAGAAGGAATAGAGCAGGTGAAGACAGATGGAAAGGGCAGGTCAGCAAAAGGACCAGCAGGAGTAAGGTCCTGGAGGCATGAAAAGGTGTCCAGTGGGCTCCAGGCCCCAGAATGCAGAGGGACCCTGCAAAGGGGCAGGAGAGGTAACTTGAGGTGGGCGAGAGCTGCATCATTGGGGGAGGTCATGCTGTTTGTGCATGCTGCTACAGGGTGCTAAAATACAGCAAAATAAAAACATGTAGAATGGCTTCCAAGGTGGGAGGACGTTGTTTCCTAATTAAATGGGCCTCTTCTTCCACAGGCCTTGCCACTGAAGAAACCCTGTCTGCTTCAGTCACCAGCCAGCCTACTCATCCAAAGGAAAACGTTATCCCACTGCTTGTGACAAGCAATTCTGACCAGTTCCTGACCACTCCAGATGGTGATGAGAAGGACATAACGCAGGAAAATTCTGAATTGAAACACAGATCCTCAAAGAAAGATCTGTTAGAGATAGACAGGTTTACAATTTGCGGAAACCGGATTGACTGAACCCGGTGGCGCCTGTGCCGGAGACACGGAGTCCCGGGCAGTAGACGCCGTGCTGCCAAGATGGACAGATGTGAAAAGTGGCACTTAAATATTTATTTAAAAACTTAAATTATTAATGGCGAGGAAATATTAGTATCTTTCTTCCAGCAGTGTGGTTGGGATGAAGGTCTGGTCACAGAACAGCAGCGACCTCGAGCTTTGATTTCTGGGGAGATTTGGTGGATCACGAAAACTTCGTCCTGCTGGCCGAGCAGCAGCGTCACTTCGGGGACCCAGCGGAAGTAGCATCGGAATTACATGTGCTTTGTCCATCGTCCTCGAGGCCTCTTCAGTGTAAGGATGTACCTGGAAAACTTTGAAACTCAGACCATGACGTGACTTTTCCAGTCTCACACTATTTTCACAAAGTTTTCAAACTTTACTTCATCTGCCAAAGCATTAAAAAAAGTTATTAAACATAAATCAAGAGAAATGTTCTGACCCCCACAATAATCCTTGCAGGTGTACTTGAACTAATCAGAATAAAAGGCTACCTTAAATAAGACATGATACATAGTAGCGTTTTATAGAAAAACAAAAACGCTAAGCCATTTAGTTTATTTTGTAAAAGGAAAAAAAATCTCTTAATGAAGGTTATGCATCACTGAGAAAATGTTTCCTAATTTTTCCATTGACTCTTTAAAGCAAAAGCTGAGCTGTATGTTATTTAATTGCAGTGGATAAACTAGAGATTCTCTTACAGGAGGCAATTTTTAGACTGAAAAAGCAGAGCATGGTAATTTTCAGATGGAGTTAACTGGTTTCACTATAAGGTTAATTGCTTCATAAATTGTTACAGCTAAAAGGATTTGATGTTGAACAGGCTGGAAACTTGTCAGTGTACAAAATTCAGGTGTCAACTTTAACTGGGTTTTTTAAGTAACCATTTTAAAGTAAATATACTTAGTAGATGGAGCAACACCAACACCGTCTTGCCTGGGCTTATCAGATGCATTCAGATTTCTGTTTGGAGCACTGTGGGTGTGTCTGTATGGGGAGCGGTTCTGTATGGGGAGCAGTGACTGAGGTGTGCCTGTTCTGGGGGTGCAGGCAGGCCCCTGTTGAGAGAGCACTTGGTGTGAAAGTCAGCAGGTGTGCAGAGGTGTATGGATGCTGGGAACATGGGAACAGCAGCCAAAAATTACTTTTTGGTTTTGTTCAAGATCCAGATTCCATTTAGGCTTAATGACTAGTTTGTGGCTTACAGTATAGGACATGTTATTTTCCATCACATTTTACTTAAGAAACCTTTCTGTGTTTTATAAACATCTTACAACTTCTGTTTTCAGAACTGTCGAGAAGATACTGTTGACTTTTTTTTTCTTCCCCCTTTTGTTTTTTGGTGCTTTAATTTTGAAGTTCAGCTCTTGTGCAGATGTTTGAGGCATATGATATGCAGAAGGTAAATTAGAGGCAACTTGTCTATTTCCTGGGTAAAATATAAAGCAATCTAATGCTTTGGCTAGTTCGTTTGAAATACAAAAGTGAATTTTCAGGTTTTGCAGTATGCTCAGATCGGATAAAGGAGGAAATTGTACACAAATGCTTTTGTGAAGGCAGGAAGTATTTTAAGTTAAAAATGAAAAGACTTCTGTTTTGTATACATTTCAGTGAAACCCCATTTTGGAAGTATTATTCTTTTCTCTCCATCTCTTCTCTCATCAACAAAAGGAATAGTGTCCGCAGTGAATGGCAATAATTTGAGGAAAACTTTGCCAGGAGTAGCCCTCCCTGATCAAAGCAAGAACCTAATTTGGGTGTGTGTTTCAATTCAGCTTGAATTATTCTGTCTTTGTGCTGTCATTTTTGGAAGATTTTCATTTCCTTTGCAGATGCTGTAGGGAGTTCAGAATGATGTTCTTGTTCTTTTCTTCTGTTACAGTGGCATTCAGTACTAATTTTATAAGTGCATCTTGTGTGAAACTCAATAAATTCAATTTTGTAATCTTTTTTAAAAAGATCACTGGATTTATTTTGATAATATTCACTGTTAGATTTGGTGAAGTATATTTCCCATGCTTTAATAAGACTTTATTTCTAATTTTCAAGTGATAAGTCTGTCTTAATGTCATTATTCTTTTGGTCTTAATGGTACAAAATGTTTCATCATGTTTTTGGAAAAAATGGCTGGGATTTGATTATAGACCATTTAATAACTGTCAGCAAATGAAGTTATTTGCATTTTACAGGTATTTTGACTGTTACACAGTGTGATTTTTACATCTGGCTTCAAGCTCAAGACAGTGCTTCAGTTTAAAAAAACAATCTATGTAGAGCACAGCATAGGTCAGACCAATATTAGCTTTTCCTTTGGAATAAATACCAAGTGTCATTCACGAGCTTTACTAAACTTCCTTGTGGATGTTGGCCAGCATTTAGACTTTATATTCAGTGTATATAAACATATAAGCCCTGGTGGTACAGTGGTTAAGAGCTTGGCTGCTAACCGAAAGGTTGGTGGTTCAAAGCCACCCAGCGGACCTGTGGGAGAAAAGATCTGGTTATCTGCTTCCGTAAAGATTACAGCCTGAAACCCTATGGGGCAGTTGTACTCTGTCACATGGGGTCGCTATGAGTCCAGATCGATTCAACGATACATAAGCGTGGAAGAAACTTGGTATAATTAAATCCTCAAGATATATCCTGCAACTCCTGGTAACTCAGCAGAGGAAGAGAGAAATTTATGAAATAATTTAAAATCACTATATTTTGCTGTGTTTTGATTTCATTCATCTATTTATTCTTTCAGCAAACATTTACTAACCCTCCTATGTGTCAGGAACTGTTCTAGATGCTGGGATCAGCCATGAACAAGATGAAGTCCCTGCTCTTCTGGGGCAGACAGAGTAAACAAGTCAATGAAGTTATTTCTGCTGGTGACAAGTTGTATGACCACCAAGTGATCTTGCAGATTATTTTAGTTCTGAAATACAGTTCTTTAACATGTAAATTGGATTTTTTTCCCTATTGAATTTGCTTAAAATAATTGTACAGCAGTTGGACAGTTCCACAGTGTTTCTCCCTAGATGGTAAAGACTGCTAGAATCCATTCTCCTGTTCCATGAGCGCAGGAGTGTAACTGAGCATGTGGCTGCCTGGTGGGCAGCTCCATTTCCCAGTCCCTCTTGCTGTCCTATGTGGCCAAGTGACTTAATTCTCAGCTACGGGTTGCAAATTGAAAGGGATGCATACCATTCTCAGACCAGAGCCATTAAGACAGTGGATAGGGCTCCACTTTATTCCTTCTCTATCAGCTGGAACCCAGAGAAGGTTGGCGGCCTTACCCCAGTCATGCAGATCAATGCATGGCACCGAGAGGATGGGGGAGCCACTGGAGGGAAGGAACCTGGGGCCTGGATGCCCCTGCGGAGCACAGTTACCTGTTAACTTGGAACACTCAGTTCAGACTGACTGAAATATGAGAGAAAAAGACTTCTAAGACGGCTTTGCTTTTAAGCCACTGGAACTAGATCTGTCTTGCAGCAGTTAAGCCCACATTAACACACTAGGAAATCTGAAAGGGACTATTTAGAGACTCAACTCTAAAAACATGCTCCTAAAAATACTTGCTGGATATCCATACATACTAGTTTATAGGGAAAAGGATGTAGAGTACTATGCTCCATTTACTCTGAGGTCAGACTCCTACCACCCTGAATCTAGATCTGAACATTAAACCTGCTAATAAGTAGCAATGTCCTATTTGTTAATATACTCTCCTTTACCCAACAATATGCATTGCCCCATCAGGAAAGTGTGTGTATAGTAAGGGAGTAAATTACAAGCATAAACTAACAGCAAAGAGGAGTGAAAGCAAAAGGAGTCAATACATAAACAGGCAATAAAAATATGGTCATCTGGGGCCTATTGTTAATTGCCGTGGAGTGGGGCATCCCCATATATGACAGAACAATGAAATGTTCCCAGGTCTTGTGCTATCTTCACGATCGTTGGTATTATACATTTTCACCAAAAATAAAATCAAAAAAATATTGAGTGAATAAATGTGGGAGCCATTCTAGAGGATGTGTGCTTGGGCTGCCTTGAAAAAAGAATAGGAATTAGATGGATAAGGGAAAGGAAGGGTAACCCGGCATGAACACAGGAGGAAAGATCATAGCGGGTCCAAAGCACAGGGCTTCCTGCACTCACTAGGTAAACATCCAATGCCTATTAAGTACCAACCATCAGGCTGAGAATACAAGAAGTGGCTTCAATCTTGGAGAGCTTTTAATACCTTGCTAAGATCTTGGGGATGGTGCAGAGGTGATTCAGTGGTAGAATTCTCACCTTTCCTTTGGGAGACGAGAGGGGATTCAATTCTCGGCCAGTGCACCTCATGCACAGCCACAACTCAGCTGTCAGTGCAGTTTTGCATGTTGCTATGCTGCTGAACAGGTTTCAGCAAAGCTTCCAAGCTAGGACAGACTAGGAAGAAAATCAGCCAATGAAAACCCAGTGGATCACAATAGTCCAATCAAAACCAATCATGGGGATGGTTCGAGACCAAGCGGCATTTCGTTCTCTTGTGCATGGGATCGCCATGAGTCGGGGCCAACTCGACGGCAGCTTAATAACAAGATTCTTGCACTTGATATTGTGGGCAATAGGGAAGCTTAAGTGAAATTTCAAGTTGGATTGTTGTAGCTATCAAATGAGAAGATAAATGGAAAAAAGTACTTTGCACACTATAAAATGTTAAAATGATCAGATCAGTGTTTTATAAAAGTCTAGTGGCCTTGTAAAGGATTACTATCTAATAGCTTCCACTGTTTTAGTATGATAGCACTGTTAAGCTCATTTTCTGCATTCTATCTCTATGAAGTAGGCACTGTTATCCCCCTTTTATACATAGAAAAACTGCACCTTGGAAAGGTTAAGTTGCCCAAGATCACACAGCTAGTAAGCAGCAGAGCAGAAATGTAAGCCCCTTCCCTGACTTCAAAGCCTGCTCTCTCAGCCTTGGTGCTAATGCTATTTGCAGAAGAGGAAGAATTGGAGGCAAGGAGCCTCCTTAAGGAGGTAACTGCGGGAGTTCAAGCCAGAGTAATGAGGACTCAAGGACGTAGAGGTGGTTCAGTGGTAGAGTTTCCAACTTCCATGTGGATGACCCGGGTTTGATTCCCGGCCATTGCACCCCATGCACAGCCACCACCCATCTGTCAGTGGAGGCTTACATCTTGCTATGATGCTGAGCAGTTTCAGTGGAGCTTCCAGACTAAGAAGGACTAGGAAGAAAGGCCTGGCGATCTACTTCCAAAAATCAGCCAGTGAAAACCCTATGGATTACAACACCCCTGTCTGCAGGGGGTGCAGACGGGGTGGTACACGACCGGGCAGTGTTTCGTTCCCTTATGCATGGGGTCACCATGAGTCTGGGGCTGACTCGATGGCAGCTAACAAGAACATCCTCCTTTTGGATGTAGGAGGTAAGGGGAAAACAAAGCATTGCAACAGTGATGTGATGTTGCAAATGTATTTCAATGAGACTCCACCCTACACGCTGGTTTATAACTTGCTTTTCCTTTACATGTAGTGGATATTTTTCTACGTCAATAATTTAAAATATTTTCAATGGCTGCATAAAATTCCATTGTATAGCTGTGTTATAATTTGTTTTATCAGTTACTTTTGTTGGGCATTTGCCTGATGATTTCCTGAGGATAAATTTCTAGAGCTGGGACTACTCAGACAGAGGCTCCTAAGGATTATTGATGGGTGTTGCCAAATGACCCCTCAGAGGCACACAGTACATGACCTACACTCCCTATCCCTAGGTTGGATGACTGTTCTCATCCTCGTCAACTCACAGGTTTTAAGAA